AGAACAGATACTACACTTGATCTTAGCCAAAAGGCCGAGAAGCGATAACCTTCTTATTGCCCGGGCGCCACCCACCCCAACGCCCACCCCCGACATCTCACGGACGCGCACACGCTGCCCGCACCGACCCTCCCCCGCCGCCCCACCGCCGCTCCCCACCACGCAGCGCCCCGCTCCGTTCCCGCTCCGCCCCGATATCTGCCCGTTCCCCGGTTCTTCGTGTTTTGAGAACTACCGGCGGCCCCTGCGCCGCAGATTAGCATAGCCCCGCCCTTGGCGCACACCTCCCCTTTTGGGCGTGGCGCCGCAGACCCCGCCCCCAACTCTGGCCCCTCCCCTCTCCGCTCGACTCCTTCCCTTGTTACCGCAGAGAGCGGCGTTGCTGCTGCGCGTGCGCACTGCGATCGGCGGGGCAGCGTGGCGGCCGTCGTAGGGCTGTGCTGCGGACGGGGAGACGCGGAACGTACGGCACAACGAACGCGGGCGGAACGGCCTCGGGCACCTACAGCGACGGAGCGCCGCGCGGCTGGGCTTCCCCTCCGTGACCGCGGGGCGGCGCTGCCGAGCCGTCGCTCCCCGGCGGCAGCGGCGCTGGGCGCTACGAGTAGAACGGCAGCCGATGTGCGGGCGTGCGGAGATGGGATCGGGAACGGCACGGCGCTGCGGGAGTCGCGAGGGGAGACGGGGGGGAAGGAAGGCGGAGGGACGAAGGGCAATCAACGCAATGAGCCTGTTCATATCCTTGTCCAGGGTTTCTGATTCGTAAAGGCGTTCTCACACTGTCCAGGGCTGGGATGTGGAACTTGTCCTGAGCTCCTGGCTCAGAGCCGTTCCAGACGGCTGCGCAGAGCAGGGCTGCACTCTCCGTACCTATAAATTACTCCATCTACCTGCTGAGCGTGTGCCCTCCCCTCTCTGAGCTGCAGGGCCTCAGTGTCTCCCTGGCAGTTAGGGGCCAACGCTGAGCGCAGTGCTGAACTGCGGCCCCAGCAGCGCCATGCCGAGGACGGGCACCTCCTGCTCTGCTGCCCGCACCGCTGCTGCTACGAACCGGGACACCATTGGCCTTCTTGGCCACCCAGGCACAATGCTGGCTCATGTCCTTGTGTCTTTTTCACCCCATTTGCCTCTGCCCCATCTCGTGTTTGTCCCACTAATGCCATGTGATTGCTGTCAATGTACTTTGCTCCATGTCCTTTCCTAGAGCTGAGGTCAACTCATGGCATTTTGGTTGGAATGTCCCCAAGGATCAATACAACCCAATCCCCCTCCACAGGCAGCGCTGCCAGCCGTTACACCACGCCCTGGATCGGAGTGCCGCGGCCCCATCCAGCCGACCTGGAGCACAGCCAGGGGCGGATCATCTGCAGCCAATAAGGGCAGCTGTGGCAGAGTTTCTCCTGACATCTAACATAAATCTGCCCTCCTTTAGTTTACTCTCCCTTGCCCTGCGTCCCCGTGAAAACATTTCATTCCCCTCAAGTGAATGCGCTCTTTGCCGTCCCTCCCTGCAGCGCCCATCCTGTCACTCCGGGCTTCGCCAAGAAGAGCGCTCCACCAGCACCGCTGTGCCCTCAGCCCGACCCTTCTCTGCCCCTGTGCCCGCACACGCCGGGCGCAGCCCCGCACCTCCGCGCTGCTATGGAAGAAAGAGAGCGGCTGAGCGCTTCCCCGCACCGAGAGGTGACGATCCAGCCGGGAGACGGAGAACAGCAGCCTCGGCGGGGTAATGCCGGGAGGCAGCGGGAAAGGGCCGAGCGGGGAAAAGAGCCCGAGCCCACGGGAGGGGAGAGAGCGGCGGGAGTGAGCGGGGAGCTGCGCTGAGAGTGCGGGAGAGAAGGAGAGTCCGAGTGCGGGAGAAGGGACGGACGGGCAGCGCGGGGACAGCGCGAGGACGGGGCTGGGATGGCAGCGAGAGCGTTGGAAAGGTAGCAGCCAGGAGTGAGAGGATGGGCGCTGCAGGGAGGGAGGGCAAAGAGCTCTTTTCTGCCTTGTGCGGAGCTGCGGGGGGCGGAGTGGATGGGGGATGGAGTTCCGTCCCGCCGAGCCCGTGAGTCACCTGCAGCGCTCCGTTCTGTGCCGGCTCGTAGCGGCAGCGGTGCGGGCAGCAGAGCAGGAGGTGCCCGTCCACTGCATGGCGCTGCTGGGGCCGCAGCTCAGCGTTGGCCCCTCACTGCCAGGGAGACACTGAGGCCCTGCAGCTCAGAGAGGGGAGCGGAGCCGTGGGGGTCTGCAGCACAGCGCTGTGGGGCTGTGGTCCAAAGTGATGCGGTTTGGTGGGGAATGGTGGTGGTCTGTGGATGGTTGGACTGCATGATCTTGGAGGTGTTTTGCAACCATGTTGATTGTGTGCCTGCATGAACTGCTCTCTGTCTGACCAGGCTCCAAATGCAGTGAGCTGTGGAAGAAGAGGTGCCGTATGCTCTGCATGGCTGTGTGTGCAGAGCCATGGATCCTTGCTTTGGTGCTGCTGGCCGTGATAGGTGAGTGCCACCCGCATCCCATGGGGATGGAACCTGTATGGTGGGTGTAGGACGGGGGACGATGGGGTTTCCCAGCGTCCTGAGCTGCTCCCCAAGCACAGCCCCCATCCCAGCTCCTGGGGTGCCCACGTGGTGCCCCAAACCGCCTTCTGCTCCACCTTCCCAGCCTCTGCCACCGCTGCGAGGCCATCGCCCCATGGCTGTGCATCCCAAGCCCACGCCTGCTGCAGGGGAACCTTCTTTGCCTCTCACTCGCCCAACTCTCTCCCTCTCAGTGCTCCAGCATTCTGTGTTGTGCTCACCTCGCCCACCCTTCTCCCACGTCTGCCCCGACGCCTGGCTCGGTTTGCAAGGGAAATGCTTTTATTTCTCAGCCAACGAGAGTGACTGGGACAGCAGCAGGGAGCACTGCCAGCGCCTCGGAGCTTCCCTGGCCACCGTGGACACGGAGGAGCAGATGGTGAGAGCAGGGCGTGAGCCGCAGTGCCAACACGGGGGTGGGAAACCCACACTTGTGGGGCCGCACCAACGGCTCCCGGTGCCCCCAAGTGGCCCCCCCGCCAAAGCCACGAGGAGATGCCTTGCAGCGAGGTGGCAGCTGAGACGTGGGCCTGAGGGGGGAAAGTGCTCCAACGGCTGCAGTCACACCTGGGTTTGTTCAAAGGAATTCATGCTGCGGTACCTGGGCCCGGCAAACTGTTGGATTGGGCTGCACAGGGCAGAAGGGGACGAGCGCTGGACGTGGGCCGACGGCAGCACCTTCAGCAACTGGTCAGTGCGTGCGTCCGTCTGTCTGTCTGGGATGTCTGTCAGGGTCTGTTTGGGATGGGCTGGGATTGGGTTTCCCATTCTGCTCCCTGCTGTGCTCAGGTTCCAGCTGCGAGGCGGAGGCCGATGTGCGTACCTGAATGGGGACAGGATCAGCTCAGCCCTGTGCCACACTAAGAAGTTGTGGGTGTGCAGCAGAGCCGACAGCTTCGTCCTCTGGAGGAATGGGACAAATCCACAGTGACAGATCCCAGCCCAGCCAGCTCGTGCCAATGCTGCTGGGCACGGCCATGCCATGGCTGTGTGCTGGAATCTGCCTCTTTCCAGCACTGCTGCAGCTGTTCCTGCACGGAGCCACGCAGCTCTGCTGCTCGTTATCTGTCAGGGAACATGTTTAATTGCACCGTGCCATAAAGGAAGGGTCCTTTGTGGGTCCTTACAGGTCACAGCGCTGTGGGACGGGTGGGTGGGCAGGGTGAGGATCGCTGCCCCCGACCCCTGGAGCTGCCAGGACCTGGAGCAGCGCAGCCAGCAGTGTGAGCAGAGCACAGAGCAGCGCTGCGTCCCGCGGGGTTCAGCCAACACTTTGTGCTCCGGGTTTTGATTTTGTTCTGTTTGGTTCTTGCCACACGCACTGTTGTTGTTGTTGTTTCATGTTAATAATGATCTAATTGTAAATAATGATCTAATGTAAATCTCATGTAAATAATGATCTAATTCTGTGATATTTCAGTATATTTACATAACATAAATTATATACCATAGAGAACAGTATAATGTTACTGCTGCTAATAATAATTGCCCCAAGTCTTCATTCATTGCCATTGTTATCAATATATTCCCCATTTTTACTAGACTGTTATGAATCCCATTTATTCAAGATCCTTGCCTCAATTCCCCAAGTTTTATCACTCCATTAATACCGTTGTTAATCACACCATTATCATCAATACATTTTGTAGTTATTTTTATAATTGTTGTCTCGTTTCCCTGATTGGCACCATTTCATTTCATGTTTATGCCATCATTAATTGCATGGTGACGATTATTGCTCCAAACCCCCATGATTTCCATTCTTGTCCTCCTGCGGGAGAAGGGACGGGCAGCGCGGGGACAGCGCGAGGACGGGGCTGGGATGGCAGCGAGGGCGTTGGAAAGGCAGCAGCCCGGAGTGAGAGGATGGGCGCTGCAGGGAGGGACGGCAAAGAGCGCGTTCACATGGAGCACAAACTTCACAGCCAGATGCGGACAGGACCTGGGGTAGTAATGGTTGTAAAGCAAAGGAGGTTGGATTCAGTTTTGATATCAGGGGAGCTGTTTTGTGAGGAAGCGGTTGTGGGAACGTAAGAAAAAGCTGCTCAGAGCAGCAGCTGTGGAGCAAGACAAGTGGCATGAGAGCCAAGGACACCTTTAGAAGAAGAAAGAACATCTCACGGCTCTGACTGGCTGAGCGCCTGTGTCTATGGCTGGGGAGTGTTTTGCAGGATGCTCTGTTAACATGTATAAATAGAGTAGTGCTTAAGAGTATTTACACGAACAGCTTGTAAGCATATTGGTGTGCTGTTATGTCTCCGGCCGCGTTCCTGAAAGTCCAGAGGCTTCCCCACAGTGGTGAGGTGCTGGCACGGCTGCCCTTAGAGGCTGCGGATGCTCCCCCTCTGGCTGTGCTCCAGGCCAGGCTGGATGGGGCCCCAGATCTCCGATCCAGGATGTGGTGCAACGGCTGGCAGCGCTGCCTGTGGAGGGGGGTTGGCACGTGGTGATCCTTGGGGTTTTTCCACCCTACGGTCAACTGCACCCAGGGCCTGAGAAGGTCATGGAGGAAATTACCTTGAGAGCAAACACATGGCATGGATCATAGCATCATACAATCATAGAAAGGCCCACAGTGCTCATCTGGTGCCAACCCCCCGCTGTGTGCAGGGTCACCAACCAGCACACCAGGCTGCCCAGAGCCACATCCAGCCTGGCCTTGAATGCCTCCAGGGATGGGGCATCCACAACACAGCATCACAGAATCACAGAATCGTAGGGGTTGGAAGGGACCTCCAGAGATCAGAGTCCAACCCCCTGCCGAAGCAGGTTCCCTACAGCAGGTCGCACAGAGAGGCGTCCAGGTGAGACGTGAATATCTGCAGAGAAGGAGACCCCACCACCACCTGGCAGCCTGTTCCAGTGCTCCTCACCTCACCTGAAGAAATCCTTGTGCACATTTGTGTGGAACTTCCTCTGCTGCAGTTTCTGGCCGTTTCCCCTCATCCTGTCTGCACACACTTGTGGAAACGGTCCGGCCTCGCCGCTCTGCCCCCCACACCTCATATATTTACAGACCTGGATCAGGTCCCCTCTCAGTCTTCTTTTCTCCAGGCTGAACAGACCCAGTTCCCTCAGCCTTTCCCCATAGCAGAGATGCTCCAGGCCCCTCCCCATCTTGGTGGCCCTCCGCTGGACTCTTCCCAAGAGATCCCTGTCTGTTTTGTACTGGGGAGCCCAGAACTGGACGCAGTGCTCCAGCCTCCTTGGGCAACCTGTTCCAGTGCCTCACCGCCCTCTGGCTGAAAAACTTGCTCCTCATATCCAACCCAAACCTCCCCTGTCTCACTTTAAAGCCATTCCCCTTGTCCCATCACCACCCACCCTCACAAACAGCCATTCCCCCTCCTGTTTATACGCTCCCTTCAACTACTGGAAGGCCACCATGAGGTCTCCTTGCAGCCTTCTCTTCTCCAGCAAGTGGGACAATGAGGGGATGGGGCCCAGCCACCTGCTGAATCACGAGAACATCTTTTCTATGTTGTGACAACAGCCTTTTTCCACATAACTTGAGTAGACTCAAACTGAAGGACAGGAGACATGTGTACCGTAAGCCAAGCAGATTGCAGAGTCCACTGACCATCAAATAAGGACAAGAACGTGGAACAGACGTCTTGTTGTAGAAGGTAAGACAGCAGTAAAAATGCCTCACTTCAATACAGCACCACTGGGAGCCGGGCTGGGCTACCCCCCTTTGAAAGGTGGGAAATTCACAGTGAGAATGATCACCAGCCTCCATCCCAGGACCACCAGAGACCCCCACCACGACGTTAGGACACACGCCCAAAAGGGAGGGACACGATGTTAACTTTGTCTTGGCATTTCTGCCCACGTCCTTGACAAGCGATGGCTGTGCATGCGCTCTACCTCTGAATATGCAGCTGCTGCATGCTGGCGGAATGATGCCCATGCACACAGCGCTGCAGTAAAGGAAGGCCTGCTTGAGACAGCTGCCATGTCAAGTTACTCTGTTGGAATTGTCAGCTCCAGTTGGTGACCCGGCAGGAGACCCTCTGCTCGGCTGTGGACCCACCGAGAGGAGAACGCCCCGCGCCCACCGGCAGCTCGTCCGGGAGGGACTGCAAGTCTGAGGAGGGTCAGCGCAGGGGCAGACAGCGTCCTGTGGGTAAAGGTACCCCTGAGCCTGGGTTCTCTTTCTCTGGTTCTGCTCTTTGCTTAAGGCCTCTGGCAGAAGCACTCGTGGGTCGCGTTGGGCAGCGCAGCGTGCACGGCAGCAAAACTGCATCGGCCCTGAAGGCACCAAGTGCTATTTTGGTAAATGGGAGCTGGCAGAGGTGATTGCTGAACCGCTTTCTGTCATCTTTGAGAGGTCTTGGAGGACGGGGGAGGTGCCTGAAGACTGGAAGATAGCCAATGTCACTCCAGTCTTCAAAACGGGCAAGAAGGAAGATCCTGGCAATTATAGGCCAGTCAGCCTCACCTCTGTCCCTGGAAAGGTGATGGAACAGCTGTGCTGGATGTCATCTCCAGACAACTGGAAGAAGAGGAGGTTATCAGGAGTAGTCAGCACGGGTTCAGCAGGGGGAGGTCGTGCTTGACCAACCTGGTGGCCTTCTGTGATGTTGTCTCTGGCTGGGTGGATGGGGGGAGAGCAGTGGATATAGTCTACCTTGATTTCAGCAAGGCTTTTGATGCTGTCCCCCACAACATCCTTATAACAAAGCTGAGGAAGTGTGGGATAGATGAGTGGACAGTGAGGTGGGTTGAGAACTGGCTGACTGGCAGAGCGCAGAGGGTCATTGTTGGCGGTGCAGAGTCCGGTTGGAAGCCTGTAACCAGTGGTGCCCCCCAGGGGTCGGTGCTGGGTCCGGTCTAGTTCAACATCTTCATCAATGACCTTGATGAGGGGATGGTGGCCACCCTCAGCATGTTTGCTGATGATACGAAGTTGGGCGGATTGGCTGACAGCCTGAGGGCCGTGCTGCCATTCAGCGGGAGCTGGACAGGCTGGAGAGCTGGGCAGAAAAAAAACGGATGAGGTTTAACAAAAGCAAGGGTAGAGTCTTGCATCTGGGGAGGAATAATTGCATGCACCAGTACAGGTTGGGGGATGAGCTGCTGGAGATTTGCTCTGCGGAGAGGGACCTGGGTGTCCTGGTGGACGACAGGTTGCCATGAGCCAACAGTGTGCCCTTGTGGCCAAAAAGGCCAATGGCGTCCTGGGGTGCATTAAAAAGGACCGCCGATCGCATTGCGCACGCGCAGCAGCAACGCCGCTCTCTGCAGTAACAGGGGAAGAAGTCGGGCGGAGCGGGGAGGGGCCAGGGCTGGGGGCGGGGCCTGCGGTGCCACGCCCAAGGGGGAGAGGTGTGCGCCAAGGGCGGGGCTATGCTAATCGGCGGCGCAGGGGCCGCCGGTAGTTCTCAAAACACGAAGAACCGGGGAACAGCGGGCAGATATCGGGGAGGAGCGGGAACTGAGAAGGGCGCTGCGGTGTGGGGAGCGGCGCTGGGGCGGCAAGGGAGGGGTCGGTGAGTGCGGCGTGTGCGCGTCCGTGAGATGTCGGGAGCGCGCGTGTCTGC